GGTCTATTTTTAGTTCCTTTACTCTATCTCAAAGATCACCATGACATTTGGGTCAAGAAATATCCATTTTTTTCCCAAGTTAGTTATCTCACAATCCCTCTATGGCACTATTGACCTGTTGTCTAAACACTCTTCATTCTTCAGTGTAATATTCTATAGTAGCCTCTCCCAATCATTTCTTGATCATTCCTTCTCTGCTTCTTTTTTTTTTCAAAAAACCTGATATCTTTTCAAGGTGCCATATTTAAAAGCATTCTTATGTCTGCACATTATCCCACTTGGCAGTTTCCTGGCTTCAAAATATCATGTAGGCTCAAATCCCAAATGCATAATATTACTCAAAATGTGTCTGTAAGCTCCAGTCTCTCATTTTCAACATCCTTGTTAAATATCTCCACTTTGATATTCTGCTGCCAACTCAAACTCAATATATCCTCAGATATTTCCCTTGTTCTATTATTCATTGCTGCGAGTAGCCACTTTTATATTTTGTACTTTTTAAAAAAGCTTGTTAACATTGATTTGGACTAACCATTACCAGAATTGTTTGAAATAGGAAATTAGAACTTCTTTAATATGAAAGATGAAATAAAAAGTCAGAAAGCATAATTTAGATATCTGTAAAATTCTATGGAATTTTATTACAATGATAAAGTAGTAGAAACTACTGTTGTGTTGTTGTGTGCCTTTGAATCAATTATGACTCATAGTGACCCATGATTAAGTGATTGGTTGCTAACCTAAAGGATGGTAGTTCAAACCCACCAGACGTTCTGCAGAAAAAAAAGACCTGGACATTGGCTCCCATAAGGATGGCAGCCTAGGAAACCATATGAGGCAGTTCTTCTCAGTCCTATAGGGTCACTATAAGTCAGAATCAACTTGAGGGCACCTAACAAAAACATCATTTGACTTCTGTCAGAGTTTGTTGTTGCTGTTAGTTGCCATGGAGTCAGTTCAGACTCATGTCAGTGTTACCCCTCCATTGCCATTGATTATGATTCCTAGTAAGAGCAAGCCTATAGGACAGAGCAGAACTGCCCATAGGGTTTCTGAGACTGTAACACTTTTTAGCAGCAGACCACCACATCTTTCTCCCTCAGAAAGGTAGTGAGTTCAAACTGCTGACCTTTCAGTTAGCAACAGATTGCTTAATCACTGTGCAACTAGGGCTCCATCTTATGGCAATGGTGAAAAGCCCTATATTCAGGGTATTTATAAAAAAAAAAAAAATTCAAGAGGAATTGTTTAACACTACAGTTGCCTGAGGCTGCAGAAACAGTTGGGGCCAATAAGAATTTTGGAAAAACATGAAAGATTGATTTGCAGAATGAGGTGTCCTTCAAACTTGTTCCCTTGAGTCAATTCCGCCTCTTGACGATACCTCCTTGGGTTTCCAAGG